GAGAGCAGGAACACAAGCAGCGGGAGTGGGAGAGGGAGAAGCAGGCTTCCTGCGGAGTAGGGAGCCCGATGCGGGGCTCGATCCCAGGACCCTGGGATCACGACCTGAGCTGAAGGCAGACGCTTAACGACTGAGCCACCCAGGCACCCTGAGTGCTTTTTAATACTGACCATGTTTTCCTGTTGTGGAAACTGAAGCTTAGAGAGGTTTAGTAGCCTACAAAAACTCAGCTAGTTAGTGTAAGGAATAGAGCTGGGGTAAGGACCTTGTCTTTTCTGCCTGTGCTATTAGTCTGCTTTATTACCTTATATTATACTAATGATAGAATGATAATTTATGCTCTGATAAAATTATGTATACAAATCTGACCGTGTAGGTAGGTTATGGATTTCATTTGTTTTTCTGTAGAAATTCTCATTCATATTTTGGTTAGCATAGTTTCACTTCTAGATGATTATGTGTCTCAGTGTCCCATTTTGGCCATCTCTGTAACCCTGCTTTGAGAAACACTTAATAGAGGTATACAGAATTCAAATTCCTTTTTTTTTTTTAAAGATTTTATTTATTTATTTGAGAGAGAGAATGAGATAGAGAGAGAGAGCACGAGACGGGGAAGGATCAGAGAGAGAGGCAGACTCCCCGATGAGCAGGGAGCCCGACGCGGGACTCGATCCCAGGACTCCAGGATCATGACCTGAGCCGAAGGCAGTCACTTAACCAACTGAGCCACCCAGGCGCCCCAGAATTCAAATTCTTATGTTCATCTAATGATGAGAATTCGGGAACAGAAAAGTAACTTACCTAAGATGATACAAAACAAAACAGTAGAGGCAGAAGTAAGATCAGACCATAGATCTTTGCTTTTCATGTGTTGCCTTTAACAGATTAACACTGTTCTAACAATGCATTGCAGTTCAACAGGTGTTTATTAGACTTTGGTTTCCCTTCTCAAGTATTTTTGTAGTAGACATTTTCTTTATGTGTTTTGCTAATTCCTTTTCATGTGTTCTATCTTGAAGGAAGGGAAATATTACCCTTCATAATAATAATTTGCCTCCACAATATTTAAGGTAATTATTACTCTTTTCTGTTAGCATGGATTTTTATGTTGGTAAGCATGGATTTTTATGTTGGTAAGGATGGGAGATAGGCTTGGTTTTGGGGAAAAATCTCATTCCAATTTAAGTTGAATGAATCTGCTCGATAAACATATTGATAGCTTGCTATCATTGGCATGTTGCCAGGGTTTGGTATGACTATTAATGAAAAGAATATGTATATGGGTTTCTGTATATAAGTAGTCTAAATATATTACTATTCTATTTCCTTTTTTGTTCACAATTCTCTATAATAAAAATATCTTAAAAATTTCTCACTTCTTAAACATTTGTTTCTGAGTAGGCATAAATGTACAACTTTTAGTTTTCTTGTTTTTTTCTACATTTCACAGTTTCTCGTTCCTCATCAGTATTCATTTATTTTGACTATACTATTTGTCTGTGAAAATAAAATTTACTGGCTAATAAGGCAGGATGTGTTAATGGGAGAGGTTTGCGAGTTGTGGAGATTAATGTCTGTGGTCATGAAGGTAGCCCCACCATTTGCTTTTGTAGCAGTAACACACAATACCAATTGAACCACAAAGTGAATTGATGTCTTCCTGAAATTTTCTTAAAATTTCTGGGTGAAATGCTATGTGTCCATTTCATATACTTGCTATAATAAAGCCACTAGCTTGTCTGGAATTTAACCAAGAATTTGACCAAAGAAAATGGTAATTTAAGAGGGTTAAGGCAAGTAGGTAAAGTAGAAAAATACATTTATTAACTTTAGGTGCAGGAGCAGTACAAAGTTACCAAAGTTGTAGTCAATGATAACAAATTTAAGTAGTAGTAATTCAGAAATTATTGTCTTTCTGTGAGGGTATACTTCTGTTATGGCATAAATGAATTGAAATATGGGCATTTTCCTAGGTAGATTTTTGTCTTAAACTTTTTTTTTAAAAGTAACTATGTGCAACATGGGACTTGAACTCACAGCCCCAGGATCAAGAGCGCATGCTTTACTGGCTGAGCCAGCCAGCCCCCCGCCATGTAGATTTTAAAAACCATATACTTGATATATTTTGTGTTCTTTTTTTTCTTTTTTAAGATTTTATTTATTTATTTGACAGAGACAGAGATAGCGAGAGCAGGAACACAAGCAGCGGGAGTGGGAGAGGGAGAGCAGGCTTCCCGCCGAGGAGGGAGCCCGATGTGGGACTCGATCCCAGGACCCTGGGATCATGACCTGAGCCGAAGGCAGACGCTTAACGACTGAGCCACCCAGGCGCCCTATTTTGTGTTCTTTTTAAAAATACTTTTCATGAAATAAATAGAATGTGAAACAAATGGCTATTAAGGAGTTCACTGTGGTATTTTTAACTAAAAATTTGTTTTGGTTTATGGGCTACCTCCCACCTTTAAAAAAAAGTTACAATTATTTGATTATAATACTTTTGGTATAGCATTAGAAAATATATCTTTTTTTTTTTGATAGATCACTCCCAGTGTGTATTATCCACAACTATTGGGATGAATTTATTTTAAGATCCAAATGAAATTTATATTTTCATCATTCACTGCTATATTAACAGCATTTTTCCACCTTATGTTCTATAGAATTTCTGCAAGATGTTAATAGATGTTAATAGAAAAAAGGTTTATTTGGACGATGAGGCAGAGTAGGGGTTTGATGTTCCCACACTTTCTCCTCTTCTTTTTGGTGGAACATCTCAGGATATTAGTATTTCTTGTAAAATACTTTGTGCAAAGTTACGTACATAATCTTTCCTTGATTATGCAATGATTAATATAAGCAGAACTCCTTAAAATTATAGATCTTATACAGAAGTGTACTTGATTTTGGAGTCAGAGCAGCTAGATTAGGACTGTTAAAAACTAAATCTCACACACACACACGATAAAAAAAATCACAAGTGAGGAAACTTCAAATATTTAACATATAAGGGTAAATAAACAGTGAACTCATGCCAGAGCATTTAAGATTTCCCAGATTGGATTTCTTCTTATAGTTTTCTCCAGTTGTTTGAAATACCTGTAATTCTTCCCACCCCTTCTGTGCTATTATTCTACCTTAGAATTGTCTAGGTAGGGATATGACAAAGCTATTCTGAATTTGGGTGGCTTCTAAGATGTAGCCAAAATTTTTGAGGCTTTTAAGGATCTGCCTTCTCTTTAGGTGGTCATATAGTAAATAAATATTTGAATGAATGGGTAGATGGAAGGGTGGATAGAGTGATAAATTTGTGATTAAGCTGATTCATATCATGGGCTGTATGTATTTTATATAGAGAAAAAAGATGCATTTTTATTTTATATGATGTACATTTAAATAGATTTTTTGATACATAGATTTTACTTGTTTTTAAGTTAGAGTATTTTGTGGATGGTTTTTGTTAACGAATACATCAATTATTACAACTTTTTTTTAGCTATAGTGGGATTAGATCTGCCAGCCTGAAGTCTAATTGTGCTAAAGAATTAAAGACTTTTAAATCTAATTATATTTGTTTGCATTTTTAGGCCCTTGATGAGCCTCCCTATTTGACAGTGGGCACTGATGTGAGTGCTAAATACAGAGGAGCCTTTTGTGAAGCTAAGATCAAGACAGCAAAAAGACTTGTCAAAGTCAAGGTAAGTATATGTAGATCTTATAAATTATATGTTCAGTATTTGATATTTAAACTTGTTCTTGGTGGGTGTATTTAAGACTTTTTTTTTTTCCTGCAAGATGAGTTTAGTTTCTATATAAGGGTTGTCAAATACCTGAAAACAAAACATTATTTGGGATTTTAAAGTGTTCTAATTAGAGTGAAGTTAGGTTCTTACAAATTGATATTTTGAATGCCCTTTCAATATTGACAGACTTGGTACTGTTTGTGTTTTTAGCCTTTTCTAAAAGACTGGAAAGGACCTTAGAAGTCATGTAGTTTAATTCTTAATTTTAGACCCCCCACCATTTTAGCCATTGAGATGTGATTTATAATTTGATGGTGTTTTAGATAACAGTAAAATAAGGTAGATCTAGTTGTTGATTTCCTTATCCTCTATCTTTCTTTTAAAAAACCTTTCTTAAATACTTGTGTTTTGTGTCAGTGCAGAAAAAGAAATGTAATTGTTTATATTTTAGTAAATTTATCAGTGTTGAAAAATATAGGACAAGTGAAATATTTGAAGGTAGATATTTATTCATTTGTCAATTATTTACTGAGTGGTAAACTGTGCAGGGTACTCTGTTAGGTGGAAGGAGGTTGGGGATATGAGGATGGCCTGATCTTTGTCCTCAGGGGATTTATGGTGCAGATTAGCGGATACCCTGTAAAACATTGGTTTGAATATCACCAAGTCAAAAGGCCACAGAGGTGTATGTCCAGTAGAGAGTTTCAGGTTTTCTTCTGGAGCTTTTTCCATGCCTATATCCTAGGTTCTTTCCTTATGCATGGATGTGTTGCAAAAAGCTTCCTGCGATTCTGATTTACACTCCTAGTTAAGATCCACTGTGATAAGACCTTTAAATTAACTGTAAATCTGTAGGAGTCTAGTCTTGGCCACACCATGCCTTTAGTTTTCACATGTGTGGTATTTGTGTGCTCTTCCGTGATTTGATTTTTGTGGGTACTCTTACAGTGTTCTGATAGCGGCATTCCCTGTTCTGATTTCACACACTGGTGTTCCCTGAGCACTCATTTTTTTGCCACTACCATCTTGGAAATGAAGAGAAAGCTTTTTATTAGTTTCCTCACTCTTCCAGACAGGGCTCCTACTAACACATGTAATATCTTACTGTGAATTAGACAAAAGCCCTCCCTCCTGGTAGATAGCTTCTTCAGGGGAGCTTGGCCTACAGATAAGACTTCTGTGTTAGTTAGAAAAAGGTGCTCCCTTAGGACAGGAGCAGTTTTACTTCAGGACGCATGCTTTGGTTTGCAGAGCACAGGCTGAATTTTAGCCCTGACTTGCAGTCTCAGCTGGGTGTTGCTGTGTAATGAATGAACCAGCTAAATGGCATGTATCACTCCTGCCATTTCTTGCTATTAATCAAAGGAAGAGTACTGTTAGTCTTTACTGCTTCTGTTGATAGCACAGAGTACAAGTACCTTGTGCCTTGTAAATAACGGATAGCTAAAACTTGTTAATTTTTTTGGCTGCTCTAAAAATCTGTTTATAATTCAGTTATTTTCTCAACAGATATAGTGGTATATTTCTGGTTTGTTTATGATTCAGACAAAGTTAATACATTTCCAACAATTTGTTGATATACTTCTTCCTCATCAATTTTCATTTATTAAACATTTACTGTGTGCTAAGTACTATATTAGGTATTGAAACTCTAGTGTTAAAATCTGATCTCTGTCATAAAGTGGCTTACAGTCTGAGTGAGTGACAGAGACAATTAAATACATAATTTAAATAAAGCATGGTAATGCTTTTGTGTGAGACAGAAATGCCTGGGATGCTGTGAGTATAGGACATCTCTTTTCATAACTTGTTTGTGAGCATATTACGTAGATTGATTACCATAGACATCTGATAAGACCATGTTGATGGTTCAATCCCTGTAAGAACTCTTGCTTTGTATAGGGAAAACAACTTTTTCTACATTGAATACTGGAAGCTGTCTTATTTTTCACCAACTAATGTGAAATATTTAAACCTGAACCCTTATTTTAACTTAATCTCCTCACATCTGGTTTCCCATTCTCTGATTTCTGTACTGATACAGAGTACAGTAAACTTCTGGAGCTTGACTGCCCGAGTTTGAATCTCAGCTCTACTGTGTACCAGTTCTGTGATCTTGGACTGGTTACTTATACTTTCTGCTCCTCAGTTTTCTTATCAACAAAGTGGGAACAATCATACCTACCTATTAATAAGGTTGTTGTAAAGATTATATGTTTAGTGCTTGAGCCTGATGCTTAGCTCTCAATAAATGTTTGTTGCTACTGCTTATTATTAAACTAGGCCTTCACAGAATGATAGAGGATCTAATAGCCTAAGGTCTCCACCTGTTTCCCCCCCCCCTCATTTTTTAGGAAAAGAAATTATACTACTAAAGTAATAGCTAATAGTATTGAATAAAGTCTAATCCATGAAACACCAACTGATTTAGTCTTGGAATTTGTCTGTTTAAGTAATAAATTTTTTAGTTAATCTGCTTAGGGATTGAGATTTTATATATACTAGACAGCTGTGTTAGATTACTTGTAAGGAGAACGAATTCATGCGTTGGTGAGCTTGTGTCACTTGATTTTTTTTGTGTGTGGGCTTGTTGCTAATTAAATTTGTGATCTCTAGGTAACATTTAGGCATGATTCTTCAACAGTGGAAGTTCAGGATGACCACATAAAGGGCCCACTAAAGGTAATTCATTTATTTATTCATTATTAATTCTGATGCTTCAATGGGAGACATTAAAAATTATACTTGGTCATTTCTTTTTAATCGTTGGCTTTTACTGAGTTGATAAACATAATTCTCTCTAACTAGACCAGTAGAAAACAATAGAATGTTCGGTGAAACTTGATGTGATAGGAAAACCTGTGGTCAGAAATGAAGTAAACATCAAGGAAGCATTGACTGCTTTTTATTTACTCACATGTTTACTTTTCACCATGTTGTACTTCCAGAATTAATAGGTGATGAATTAGGGATTAAATGATAGAGGTTCTGTAATAATGTGAAAAGTGAGGGAAAAACCCCAACACGTTAAGAACCTCAGAGCTTTTATTTATTTATTCATTCATTCATTTATTTATTTATTTTTTAAATATTTTATTTATTTATTTGACAGAGAGACACAGCAAGAGAGGGAGCACAAGCAGGGGGAGTGGGAGAGGGAGAAATAGGCTTCCCGCGGAGCAGGGAGCCCGATGTGGGGCTAGATCACAGGACCCCAGGATCATGACCTGAGCCGAAGGCAGGCGCCTAATGACTGAGCCACCCAGGCGCCCCTTATTCATTTATTTTAAGATTTTATTCATTTGAGAGAGAGAGAGAGAGTGTGTGTGTGTGTGTTCACACAAGCGCAGGGAGGGGCAGAGGGAGAGAGAGAAGCAGATTCCCTGCTGAGTAGGGAACCCGACATGGGGCTTGATCCCAGGACCTTGAGATCATGACCTGAGCCGAAGGCAGACACTTAACCAACTGAGCCACAAAGAGCTTTTAGAGTGCTAATTTGTTGAAGCAACTACAGGCAAATGAAATTTTTTAAGGGTTATCAGGCAATTAAAGTGATAAGCATGTTACATACAGATAGTTTTATTTATTTGCTTTCATTTCTCCTCACTGGTGGGTGAAATGAATACTGCTCTACGTTCTACTAGTGAGCAAGCTAAAGGGAATGTGTGGGTAGCCACGGTGTGCTCTTTGGCCCTTTTGAATGTCTGAAAATTGGACAGTGGCCTGCTTGGGTGAGTTTTAAGAAATGCTAACAAAATTAAAGAAACATTTATAGATACAAGAAAAATCCTTTACTGACACAGCTGTACTTTTGGGGGAATTAGATATGTGTATCTGCCAGTTGTTTGTTTGTGGTTGACTTAAAGCCTTTTTTTTTTTTTAAGACTTTTAATTGGATCCCCAGAGCATTAGTAGGCACTATAGAGAGCTAAAGCTTGTAATTTAAAAAAAAAAATCTTGCCTTATAAAAATTATTTTCCACCATTTCTGTTTTGTAGGTGCCATTTTTAATGTTACATGCACATGTTTATCATTTTCAGGGACAAAAAAGACAAAACATGTATACTTACAATGCTTGTCACCATTTGTTTAGCACTTAGTATGTGCTAGTGCTGTGCTAATAAGTCTTTTGCACATACTATCTTATATAATCCTAACAGCTCTTTACATAAGACACTAAAGGGACATAAAATAATCTGGCCATGACAGCCAGTAATGACAGAGCTAGAATTCTGATAGGGTCACCCCCTTGTCATTGAAGCATGTGCCCTCTGAATTTTCAGAACACATACACTTCTGTGCCTTATTTGTGTTTTTGCCTCAGAAGCACACAAGCATAACTCTCACTGACAGGTGCCCTGTTCGCATTGGCTTGGGCCAGCTCCTATCAGCTACAAAATATGCTCAGTGTTGTGAAGAGATAGAAAAGGCAACCACTTTGTATCCTCAGGCCCTCTTTTTCTCCTTCTGCTCCCACCTCTTTATGGCACAGTTGGTTTATTTTACTTGTTTGGCTTTTCTTACTGTATTGAATTGTTCTTTGTGATTAGGGCTAAGGACCAGTTTTGGTTTGACATAGGCAGGTATATTAAATTTTGGTCTCAAGATTGTTAAAGCATTTTTTTTTGGTCTATTGTTTTTTTTTTTTTTGCGTGTGTATAGAGTTTAAATTGTTCCCTAATATACTTCATAGCTTTCTATTACCTGATAGAAACTGTCAGCATTTGGATAAATGTTTCTCTTAGAGGAAATAAACCTACCAAAAGTGATGGTCATTTGATCTCAATATATTTTCTAATGAGTTCACATGAAATGTAATACCTAGACCACTTATTAAATCATGTATTTATTGACTGTAGTCATTTAATAAGAGCTCTATTAATTCTCCAGTTTCCTTCCCCATTTTGGGCATTGTGTGGGGCTAACAGTCTCTCTCTGAACAAGTTTATTTTTTGTTATCATCATAAAGACCATATACTTGTATTTTATTTTTATTGGGGTATGATTGACATATAATATCTTATTAGTTTTGGGTGTACAACATACTGATTCAATGTTTCATCAATACAGTAAGTCTGGTTATATCCATTACTATACATAGTTTATTTATTTATTTATTTATTTTTTGCTTATGATGGAGACTTTTGAGATTTACTCTCCTGGCAACTTTCAGATATGCAATATGGTACTATTGACTAGGGTAACCATGCTGTCTGTACCTTATATCCCTAGGACTTAATTTATTTTATAACCGGAAGTTTGTACCTTTTGACCACTTTTACCCATTTTGCCTACTCCCCACTCCCTTCCCACCCACTGGCAATGACCAGTTTGTTCTTTGTGTCTATGAGCTTCTGGTCGTTTGTTTGTTTGTTTTATTTTTTAGATTCCACATATAAGTGATATCATATGATACTTGTCTTTCTCTATCTGACTTATTGCACTTAGCATAATGTCCTCAGAGTCCATCCATGTTGTTGCAAATGGCAAGATTTCCTTCCTTTTTAAAAGGCTGAATAGTATTCCATTATCTGTATATTTTTTCCTGTATCCATGCATCCACCAGTGGATACTTAGGTTGTTTCCATATCTTGGCTGTTGTAAATAATGCTGCAGTGAACATGGGGGTGCTGATACCTTTTTGAATTAATGTTTTCATTTTCTTTGGATAGGTACCCAGTAGTGGAATTGCTGGGTCATAGTTCTATTTTTAATTTAAATACCTCCATACTGTTTACTGTAGTGGCTGTACACCAATTTATTTTACATTCCCACCAACAGTGCACAAAGGTTCCCTTTTTTCCATATCTTTGCTAACACTTGCTTTTTGTTGTCTTTTTGATAATAGCCATTCTGATAGGTGTGAGGTGATACCTCATTGTGGTTTTGATTTCATTTCCCTGATGATGAGTGATGTTGAGCATCTTTATATGTACCTGTTGGCCACATGTGTGTCTTTGGAAAAATGTCTGTTCAGATCTTCTACCCATTTTCTAATGGGATTGTTTGGTTTTCTGCTATTGAGTTATAGGAGTTCTCTATATATTGGATAATTAACCCCTTATCAGGTAAAATATTTGAAAATATTTTCTCCCACTCAGTAGGTTCCCTTTTCATTTTGTTGATGATATCCTCCACTGTGCAGAAACTTCTTAGTTTGAGGTAGTTACAAAGACCATATAAATGTAATTATTGGCATTTTCTTGATTAGATGGAAAATATTTTAAATGATTGTCATTAGTGGAACATTATAACTCTTAAGGAAATGTCAAAGCTCTTTCTTGTTTCTACCTTTCCCCGGCCTCTTTGAAGGATGAGTGCTAATATAAGGCAAGGATAGTCAACTTCAAAGATCATGGTTCTTAAAGTATGGTCCGAGGACCTCCGGCGGCTCCCAGGACCCCTTTCAGGGAGGTTGTAAGGGCAAAACTATTTTCATAACAATACTTAGATATTATTTACCTTTTTTACTGTGTTGACATTTTCACTGATGGTACAAAAACAGTGGTAGGTAAAACTGCTGGCGCCTTAAGACAAATCAAATCAGTAGTTTTTTTATTCTTCGCCACCGTACACTCAGTTAAAAAAAAAAAAAGAGCTAGTTTTTGTTTTATTCATTTACCTTCTAAAAGTTTTTCTAACTTTTTAAAAATACTTTAGGTCGGAGCTATTGTGGAAGTGAAGAATCTTGATGGTGCATATCAGGAAGCTGTTATCAATAAGTTAACAGATGCAAGTTGGTACACTGTAGGTAAGGGAATAAATCTTTTAAAAATGTATTTTCAAAGAATACAAATCAAAATTTCCTTGATTCAGTTCCTCCCCTAATGCCATAGATATTATTACTGTTAATATATTTTGTTTTTGTTTTGCTGTTAATGTTTTTTAATCTTTCCAGGTCTTAAAAATTTTTATTTCATAAGTATGTACATAAAGTATAATTTGAAATTAGTGTATATATTATACAGTTGAATTTGTAGCTTTTTTCACTTCAAAATATATCTTAAAGAAATTTTTTCTATCTTAACTATTTTTAAATGTACATTTCAGTGGTGTTAACTGTATTCATGTTGTTGTGCAACAGAGAAGTTTCTTTTAATTATAGTAGTATGTTTCATATTTGTTGTACCATAATTTATTTTCTTTTACTGATGGTGTTGCCAATTTTCTTGCCATTAAAATAAATGCTGGATTGAATGTCTTGTACATGTACATTATTCTTGTATTTTCCTGGTGTATGTGTACACTGAGGACCAGGCATAGTGAAGTGAAGTGTACTTTAAAACTTAGGTAGTGAAAACTGCCTTTGTAGAAGAGGGTATTCATTTACACTTCAGTGGACAGTGTGTGAGTGCACTCATTTTCCCAGCCCAGGTAAAAGTTGATTTTAGTAATCTGTAAAAATGTTTGCCCATCTGGATACAAAGTAGTATCTCAGTTTTGTTTTAATACTCCCCTCCTGTGATTAAGTGAGATTGAACATTTTTTTCATTTGTTTATTGAAAGGAACATCATTTCATTTGTATTTTCTCTCTTTCAAATTACCATCTTTTTATTTATTTATTTATTTATTTTTAATTTTAGTAATGAAACTGTTTTCTCAAAGGGACTGATAATTTTTTTAAAAAGTAACTTCTATTTTTTTTTTTTAAGACTTTTAATTGGATCCCCAGAGCATTAGTAGGCACTATAGAGAGCTAAAGCTTGTAATTTAAAAAAAAAAATCTTGCCTTATAAAAATTATTTTCCACCATTTCTGTTTTGTAGGTGCCATTTTTAATGTTACATGCACATGTTTATCATTTTCAGGGACAAAAAAGACAAAACATGTATACTTACAATGCTTGTCACCATTTGTTTAGCACTTAGTATGTGCTAGTGCTGTGCTAATAAGTCTTTTGCACATACTATCTTATATAATCCTAACAGCTCTTTACATAAGACACTAAAGGGACATAAAATAATCTGGCCATGACAGCCAGTAATGACAGAGCTAGAATTCTGATAGGGTCACCCCCTTGTCATTGAAGCATGTGCCCTCTGAATTTTCAGAACACATACACTTCTGTGCCTTATTTGTGTTTTTGCCTCAGAAGCACACAAGCATAACTCTCACTGACAGGTGCCCTGTTCGCATTGGCTTGGGCCAGCTCCTATCAGCTACAAAATATGCTCAGTGTTGTGAAGAGATAGAAAAGGCAACCACTTTGTATCCTCAGGCCCTCTTTTTCTCCTTCTGCTCCCACCTCTTTATGGCACAGTTGGTTTATTTTACTTGTTTGGCTTTTCTTACTGTATTGAATTGTTCTTTGTGATTAGGGCTAAGGACCAGTTTTGGTTTGACATAGGCAGGTATATTAAATTTTGGTCTCAAGATTGTTAAAGCATTTTTTTTTGGTCTATTGTTTTTTTTTTTTT